TTTCTTATAAAATGTAAAATTTTTAAATAAGTGGCAACTCTTTAAAAACAACAATATGTTTGAAAACACTCATCTTTTAGCAAAGCGCATGCTTTGTTTTAAAATGTGGAAAACTGCCACTTTTAACGAACAAATCGTTTGAACGAAAAAAACATTTTTGAAAAAAAAAAAGTTTTTAATTTTTTTGTCAAGATGCAATTTATTAATGGCAATAATAAATTAATATTATATTTTGTTAATTTTTATTGAGGAAAATTTTGTAATAATATGTATAAAAAAATTTTTGGTTTGATGGCAACTCTATTATTTTTTGAAAAAATGTAACAATAATTTTGAACATAATATTTTTACAAAAGAAATAAATTGCTTATTTTTCAGCTTTGTTGACTACCTTATTAAAAGAAATATTCTTAACTTTTTCCGAATTTTAAGCATTCATTTGTGTTTAAGTGTTCACATACAAATGCTTTCATTCAATTAAATTATTTTCCATTACACAGCCAACGAGGCTAGGCACAAATTGGTCAAAGCTCACATCAATTTTGATTGACAGTTGATTGAAACCGAAAAAATACAAAAAAAAATCCTAAAAATATTGTCATGATAAGTAACAAAAGCTACAACAACTAAACCGAATTGAAATAAAAATGTGTTTTTGTATTATGTGGCACTACTGGCTAGACTTTACATCGAAAATAAATTTAAAAAAAATTCTAAAAAATACCAATAAAAAAAACATTTAAAACTAATATGGAAAAAAGTATAATATTTAACAGAAATACTTCGTTAGCTTTGGTTATTATTAATTTTTTATATTTCTTAGTAACTGTCTCAATACTTTATTTCTACTAGAAAATTCCACCGTTCCGCCAACAAATGACCCTTTGTATGTGCTCTCTACTGACTTTATGCTTTTTGGCTTGGCCTCTTCGTGCTTTACATTAACACTTTTGTGTGGAAAATTGCAATTTTCTTAAGAGCCTCCTCTTCATACTTGAGTGGCGCACTACTTGCTTTGCTCACCACACTCGCATAACCTTAGCTATAAAGCTCTTCCACTTGAAATTTATGGATTTCTGCAATGACTTGTAGTTTTGTTTGCTTTGTGTGTGCGTGTTTGGTTTAAAATAGAGATTTGAGTGCTTCGATAGACTGCCACTTCATATAAGAGATAAATGCATTTTTTATTATTAAATGCATTGTTAAGTGTGCTGAATTGTTGTTATTGTACGCAGTGAGTTGATTAATGTAATTAATTGAAGAAGGAAAAGATTTAAAAAGTAATTTAAAAAATTTGTGAAAAAAAATTTTAAAAGAAAACATTTTAAATTCCTAACAAAGCTATTTTAAAAAAATTTTATTAATAAAATTAAATTTTTCGAAAAATAAAATTTTAAATTTATACGAAAAATTTAAAAAAAAATTAGATTTACAAAAAAAATCATTAATTTTGGCATATAAAATTTTAAATCCATAAAAAAACTATTTATAAAAAATCTTAGCTTAAAAAATATATTGAAATTTTTCGAAAATTAAATTTTAAATTCATAAGAAAATTATTTTTAGAAAATTTTATTTAAAAATAATATATATTTAAATTTTTCGGTACAGAACTTTTAAACTTTTTCTATACTACATAAAAATATTAAAATAATTAAAAATATTTTGCAAGTCTGATATGACTTCAATAATTTTTTTTTTATTCTAAATAACTTTTTCTGAGCATATTATTTTTTACTAAAAATATTAAGTGATTATAATTTTATGTAAAAACTTTGAATTCTTAGACTGATAATAATATATATCCATGTGTATATAATTATGATTTACAAATTTAGCATAATTAGCAAAAGAATATTTTAAAAAAAATTTTTAATTAAAATTTAAATTTAAAAAAATTTAACTTTTTTAATTAAAATTTAAGTTTTTTCCGCAAATAATATTTGAAAAATTTTCTATAAAAAAATTTAAAAATTAAAAAAATACAAATATTTAAAAATATTAAAATAACAAGTAAGGAAGGGTTAAGTTAGGGTGTAACCGAACACTCCATACCCTTGCAACTTGCAACTTGGACAGACGGAGGGACAGACGCTCAACCAGACAATTAACTCGTATAACCCTTTATCTAACTCGATTATTTTTAGGTGATACAAACAACCGTTAGGTGAACAAAACTATTATACTCTGTAGCAATATATTGGAAGTATACAATTAAAAACTATAAATTTTAAAAATTAAAAACTTTAAATTTTAAATTTGCCATTTTTTTTACAATCATGAACCACGAATTTCAATTATTTTTTTTTGTGATATAGCATATTATATTTTAAAAAACAATGGAGTTAAAAATTTAAATTTTTGTTTTCCTCAAAAATTGTGAAAGCTTAAAGCATTTTAGATTTTTGCACACAAAACTTTCCAGCTCTTTTACCTCTTCACTCTAAAAAATTATCAGCGCTGAATGCTTGATTTATTATTTTTTAATGATTTTTTTTGTCATTTTCTTTTGTATATTACTTCCTTTCTCTCTGCATTCTTCAGACAACTAACAATGCCACATTGTATTGTAGTAAAAAAAACTATGCTCGCATTGTAAGCTAGTGCGTCATAGAAGGGAGTATTGATGACTTCAGGGAGTTGCAGGGAAAATGTGGTCATTATAGTTCCCTAGATGTTTTTATTGTGCGTGAAATGGGTTTGGTTCGGTTGTTTTAATATCTATTTGTTTTGTGCTTTGTTACCTTGCGGCACTTTTTTTCGCCTGCACAATTGTATAGACAACGCCGTGATTTATGAATGTTTGTGTGTATGTATGTGCGCATAATGACTGAATATCGCATGTAAGTGTCACAAAAAAGTTTAACAACAAATATTTGTAGTTCAATGAAATTTGCAAAAACAACTAAAAATATTCAATGTTTCAATCACTACCGTTGTGAGAGTGCATTGAAGCGAAGTGAATAGTGGCGGCAATGTAAAAGTGCCATAGCAGATGGAGTGGATTTGTTCAAAGCTCAAATTAGTTTAAACAAAAAAATGTTGAAAAACCATTCAAATTTAAAAATTCACAATTCTTTAGATTTCAAAATTTTATATATATATAGTTATATATATATCTTTTGAATATTTTTTTCAACATTATTATTTTTTAATCCTTAATATTAATTTTACTTAAATTTTGTTTTAGTTAAATATTTATTTGGTATAAATAACTTTTTTTTTAATTAAGTTAAAATAAAATTAAAAATATTGAAACTTATGCATTTAATTTTTTTTTTAATTTTATTTAAAAATGCCCAAATATATATTTGTTTAAAATCATTTTGAAATGTTTACATTTTTTAGAAAACATTTCAAAATTTTTTTAATATTTCTGAAATGATTTTTAAACACATAGCATATATAATTTTTTTCGAATTAATTTTTAACGTGTTTTTTAATGTTAAATTTTCTAAACAAACTTATAAATATAACATAAAAAAATATATTCCAATTAGTGTGTTTTCAAATTTCGGTTATTTAAATTTTTTTTTATTTTCATCCAGTTTAAAATTTTTTTCCATCAAAAATTTCCAATTTTTTATGGTCAAAATTTTGTGGTTTTTTGTTTGAATTTTCGAGTTAGTTTTTTAATCTACAACCTTATTTTGAAATTTCGTCTACTATGTATACTAGATATGTTTCCATTAATCATATGATTGTATATTTTTCAATGATATTTTTTCCACTTCATTCACCTTGAACTGCCACACGGCTTAGTGAATCCTTAAATAACTTATTTTACATACATAAGTGCGCTCACCTTTACGGCTTGCAATGTGAAACTTTTAAATAATCGCAACAAGTATGCAAGGAGAGATGATAGTGAGCGCATTCATCATCATTTGTCTAGAAACAAAAAATCACGATAGTCATTGACCTCGTGCACACTGCGAAACAAACACCAAATAGTTCGTAGGGTTGCCATACATATATCTTATATATGTTGTTAGTTCGACGAACAAGCGTACGCTTGGTAATCCTACCTGCAAACTTTAAAACATCTACGGTAATTTGCAACATGTAGTGGCTAATACACTGTTGCCAATTTTCGCTGAATCGTATAGCAGAAATTCGGCTATCGGAAGCTCTCCATTGTTCTAAGCGATGAAGAGCACCACGTTAGCTTGACAGAGGGATTAAAAGTAGAGTAGATACAACTTCGAGCTATGGCAAAGCAGCCAAGTGGTCATAATCCTTAAATCTTTAAATAAAAATTAAACGGTTACAAAGGTCATGCGTATGAGCTATAATTAAAAATGCAGACAGTAGCTCTTTTGATAGCATATTTTGGATATCCCAGAGTACTTGACTTGACAGTACTCTCTTTAAATGTCGTAGAATATCGAATTAAAATGAAATCTTTGGATTTTTAAGGCCATATGAAAGCCGAAATTTGTGCGAATGAAATATGAGTGAAGAAATATCAAGTGTTATTGTAGTTACAACGCATTTGAATCGGCTTTGATTGCCTGCAGTGATGCGAATTAGGCAGCGCGCGTAGAAATAACCGTTTCCAATGTGGTAAATGAAGTGGAGATTTTATGTCAAGGACATATTGCACTGGGCCGCTGATAGTGCTGACATATGTTGTGTTTGCGAAAACAAGCTGCGCGCGCCTTGTAATAACTTAATGTGCCCTTAAATATGAGTGCGGGACGCATGTAAGACAAACTATAAATGAAATTCCAAAGAAAATTTTTGTGACACGTCGCGCATGAGTGAGCGTCGAAAATGTGACGTGAATTGCTCGGCGCCAACTAATATTAGCAGTGCTGTTGATATATATCAGCGAGCGCACTTTACATGATAACGCTGACAACTAGCAATTACAAAGAACTGTATTAATTAAATTTGCATGCGCTGCAAAGACAAGCGCGCACGCCGAAGCGCTAATAAATCAATTGAGCGCATTTATTATATTAATAAACAGCAATTAAATGTGCAAATATAGTGAAATGCATACACCGGGCATAAATTTTTAATGCAGTCAGTCTTTCGCTTGCAACCGTCCGCTTAGAGTACTTGAGCGCACCATGATAATTTCACACTTAACACGCGTTGGCATGGTCACGCTTATCGCCTTGGTATTGCGACAGTATTACTGTCACTGTCAGACGGGCCTAGAAGCGCAGAGTTTTAGCAGCGCTGACTGCAGCTTGATCACAATGAAAAGCTCGTGCAATTGCACATATGACGTAGGGTATGAATCCGCGAAAATTGATTGCCGCAGCGCGGATGAGCGCACTGATATACGGATATCTATTTATGAAAAAAGTGCTGTGGACATAACCTGCAGATACACAGGCGCTTCTTACGTTGTCATTGCTGAGGAATTACTAGCGCGTTTGCCGCGCTTAGGCAGCATACGCAAAGCCGATTTCTTGGGCATACATGAGTGCATGCCATTCACGGCGATACTAGCGCGTATGGCGTTAACGCAAAGTGAAATACTACATATTGATGGTCTCAGCAAATTAACGCGATTAACAGCGCAGAGCTTTGGACACAACACGAGCTATTTGCACAGCGTTGTCGATTTGGAGCTATCGGTACAACCTGCTATAGCGCAAGCAGCGCAGCGCTTAAATGCTGACCTATTCACTGTCTTTCCAAATTTGCGTACACTAAAAATCGACTTAAACGTCACAAAATTAGACGCAGGCATATTTACGCCGCTCGCCGCTACGCTCAATGATTTTACGTTCTATGGCAGATTACGTGAGTTTCCTAGCGCCGCTTTGTCACCGCTGCGCCAGCTGAGTATGTTGTTTTTGATGCGCCATCAATTTGGTGATCGTTTACGTGAAGATGATTTAGCGTCGCTCAGTTTATTGGAACAACTTACGTTGAACAGCTGTAACATAACCAAGTTACCAGCGCGTATTTTTGCATCATTGCCCGCGCTTAGACAACTCAAATTGAACAGAAATGAGCTACGCGTGTTGCCGCCTTCGCTATTTGTGGCACAAATGCACCTACAAAGCTTAGATTTGGGCGATAATCAATTAGAGACGCTGTCGCGCACACTCTTTCACCACGCCACCAAACTAACAAGCTTAGCTTTATATCACAATCGTTTGACTATGTTGAGCGCGCAAATGTTGCCGCCACTAAACGCGCTCGTAGGACTAAGGCTGGACAATAACTTACTACATACAATCGCAGCTGACAGTTTTGCGGACGCTAAGCAATTGCAGTTTTTGGAACTCCACAACAATCGGTTGAATTGGTCTAGCGCTGAGTCGTGTGATCTGCTCGCTGGCATGTCTAGCCTAATGGCACTCGGTTTACAAAATAATACGTTGCAACATTTATGTGACCAGTCAATTGCGCCCAATTATACGACCAGCAAACTGTATACGCTCGATTTACGTTACAATAAATTCACACATTTGAGCGCGTCGCTGCTGCGCACGCTAAATAGCAGCAAGTTGCCGAAACAATTGTATCTGTCACATAATCCCTGGATGTGCGACTGTGGTGCGCAAACATTTCACAATTTCGTCAAGTCTAATCGTGAGCGAATGCCTGATATATTGGAGTTGCGTTGCGCCGATACGCAGCTGGCGCCGCTGATTGAGTTATCCTACAACGATATTTGCCTGCCTGACTTGGGCGTAAATGCAAGATTTGTGTTGGGTTTGATAAGCCTGTCGGCGCTCAGCTTAATGCTTATCATCACGGCGCTCTGCTATTACAAATATAAGCTGCAGCTACAAGTGTGGCTCTACGCGCATCAGCTGTGCCTTTGCTGCATCAGTGAAGCGGAGTTGGATCGTGAGCGTAAGTATGACGCGTTCATCTCATATGCGCATCAGGATGAGCATTTTGTCGAACACGAACTGCTGCCGGGCCTGGAGCAGGGCACGCCCGCCTTTAAGGTGTGCATACATGCGCGCGATTGGTTGGCAGGCGCGTTCATAACCGAGCAAATTATCGACTCAGTAGAGGATTCACGTCGCACAATCATTGTTTTATCGGAGAGTTTTATAGCGTCGCATTGGGCGCGCATGGAGTTTCGTATGGCGCATCAAAGCGCGCTCAATGAGGGACGCTCGCGCATCATTCTAGTGATCTATGGCGATTTAGTGAATATTGAGTTGTTGGATCAGGAGTTGCGCGCTTATTTGAAAATGAATACTTACCTGAAATGGGGAGAGCCGTGGTTTTGGGAGAAGTTACGTTATGCCATGCCACATCCAACGCGCGTTTGGACTAGATCAGCGCGTGTAAGGCAGGCTGACGAGATTCCTCTACACGATTTTCCGCCAAGCGCGTAAACAATGTGCACGCTTTGTTGTGTTATATTTACAAAGTTGATGTTCATTGACAGTTGAAAGGTGTTATGTTATAATGAGTGTTTGGTAGTGTGGAGGAAAAATAAATTATTTAAAAATACAAAAATAAAAAGTTTTAAATTATATACATAAACAGCGTAGTAAACTTTTCACACAGTGTTGCCACATAATTAATTTTTTGCAAAAAAGTATATATATTCAACGTAATTTCTGGTAATATCGTTACCTAATAACTAAACGAACATATTAAGCGGCATTACATTTTTATTAAATTTTGATGAATTATATAATATATTCATAAAATATTTTTCATATTTCTCTCACCATTGCTATTTAGTTTGAAAATTTAGTAAGAAGGGCGTTTTTATAACGTGCGTTCAGCTATTTTTATTATAGAAGAGTCAAAGGGCTTTATTTTAGACATAGAATTTGAAAAAGAAATTTAGGGATGCCACCTAGTTTTTATAAAAAAAAACTATAATAAAAACAAATTAACTGCATTATCGCAATTGGACTCAAAACAGGGTTACTACATTTTTCCACATACAAAAAAATATTTAATAAAATACATTTTTTTTATAAAACTAAGGATAATATTTTGATATTTTTCAAGCCATTTCCAGAGACAACAAATTTTGTAAAGATTTTTTTTTATTTTAGTCATGAGATGGCAACACCATTTCACAATTTTTGTTTGATTGATTGAATGAACCAACAGCGATACACTGGTAGAAGAGAAAAACATTGTTGCCTTATTGTTTCTAAAATGACAAAAGTATATTTATTTAAACAAGATAACTTTCATATTTGATGCTATCGCAATATTTCAAGTTTTTAAGCATAAAAAACAACGTTTTTGACTAAAAATAAAAAAAAAACTTAAAATAATAATAAAAAATTATATACATCTGAACAAAAAAATCTTTACAAAAATTAACCTAAATTTTTTACTCTTTAAAATACATTATTTTTGTGCTAATAGTAAATATTTTAACAATTCTAAAATGCCCCTTATTTAATTTTCCTTTTAAAAATAAATTGCTTTGTACTAATTTAAAAATTTAAGCTATACAAAAATTTTGCTTTCTTAAACTTCACTTCTGCCGCTTTGACAAATTATGTTATTTGCTTTTAAACTATATTTTATTACTGCCAAATAAATTATACAAATTCTTTACTATAATTTACTTAAAATTTGACTTAGAACTTACCAAAATTCTTAATATTTTCCTTTAATTATAAATTTGGCAATTTTAAAAAACTCTATGACATTTCGGTTTCAAAAATTAAAAAACGAAATTATTTTTTTTAATAAAAATTAAATTTTTACCTAAAAAATTTAATTTTTACCTAAAAAATTGTTATTAGAAAAATTTAATTTTTATTTGAAAATTAGTATTATTTTTAAATTTTCTGTATTTTTTTAAATTTTAATTAAAACTTTTTTTTTTTAATTTTAATATTTTTTTCCAAAATTTTAATTTGCTTTATAGAAAAATATTGGTTTTTTAATTTTAATAGTTTTAAAATATTTTACTATTGATATACTTGCGTAAGCATCCAAAGTGCCCGCTTTTGTAATGTTATCATATTGATTTCTGCTTAAATTTATTTTTACTCCCTTGAATGGGTGACATAAGCTTTCTCACATTTCCCAATGATCGCAGCATTCGACTTAATTGCCAAGAAAACTGGCATAAGTGCACACATAGTATACAGATATGTAATATGCATGTAGTGCAATAACAAAAGCAATTATATAGAATGCATTCCAGCTTTACACACACACTCATATACTCGCTTGCATAACAATCCAACCAATGTACAGTTATTTATCCATATTTTTATGGCTCTTATCAGCAATGCATTTAAATGAACTTCGAGCCGGCATACCAAAGGTTTTCAACTATATAAATACACATATGTTTTTCTGTATATACATATGTATATGTACAAGTATGTGTTGTACCACTGCATTTCCGCGTGCGCCTTTTCGCTCTTCACTTTGCTGTAAACTCTGTTTTGCTACGTTCCCATGCCATTTTCATGCATCACTTCATTCCACTTCGCTACATATTCCACACCGAACGGCGCAAAGTTTTCATGCTCGTACAAGTAGTTTTTCAACACAGTGTTGTGTTTCAAAGCTTAACGGAAATTGTTTATACTTTTGTTTAATTTTTGCATAAAAAAGGCGCTTTGAAATAGTAGCTTTATATATTTTTAAATCGGTTTCAATATTCTTAATAAAAATTTAATAAATAATTAAACAAACATTACTGAATAAACATATAAAAAAATTAATAAAAAAAAGTACAAAAAAAAATATATAAAAAAATGTTTGAAAATGTAAACATTTAATTTAAACATTAAATTTAAGTTTTAAAAACTAAAATTTTGAAATTTAACGAATTTGTTAAAAAACATTTGATTATATAATAATTTTATATCAAAAAAACTATTAAATTAATAAAATTTTAAAATCAAAAACTAAAATTAAGAAATTTAAATAAAAGAAACAAATAAATATAATTACTACAATTAATTTTGAAAAATTTACAACTAAAATATTTAATAAAATTATTTGCACTTATGCATAAAATAACAAAAATTGATAAATTTAAAGAATTTGTTGAAAATTTTTATAAAAATTTGTTTTAAAAAATTAAGTTATGCATAAGTGCAAATTTATAATAAAAAAAATTTTCAAAATATATAAAAATTTGAGAACTTTAAAGATTTTGTTAACAAATTTTTATAAATATTTTATAAAATTATTTATAATTTTATATAATTATACAAAACATTAAATTTTTTTAACAAATTAAAAGAAAATTAAATATATTAAATTTTAAAACTTAAAAAACTAAAATTTGGAAACTTTAAAAACTAAAAATTTGTTTAAAAAAAATTTTAAGAACTTGATAATAAATTATAAAAGAAAATTAAATTAAAATATATTAAAACTCAAAATTAAGAACTAAATTTGGAAAATTAAATTTTGTATGTATTTTATTTACAAAATTTCGTGGACAAGTTTGCCACCTATCTTTTTATTAAAACTTTGTTACTGTGTTTTTTTTTTGTTAGTGCCTACATCTTCTCTCAATATTTCAATTTGCTTCTAATGCCATAAATATTTAAAACAAGCTTGAACAAAAATTATATATGGTTGCTAGATCCTTACAGTACATACACAATTTTATTTTTTTTTGCATATATAACAACATTTTTGTAGTGTTCAGCAGTTACATTTTTTTATAATTGTTAAATAATTTTAAAAATTCAAAATGATGTTGCCACATAATTTTCTATAAATTTAATTTTTTGTTTCTAATATATACATTTTTTTTGGAACTAATGTAAGAAAATATTCAAATGAAATTGCCTTATGGTTTTTATTAAAACGTAATAATAGAGTTGCCACATGTCTATTTCATTTATTTTTATAACTTAAATAATATATATGTCTAAATAGAATATTTTCTAATATAAATTTATTTTTGGTGAAGCTGTAAAAAAATATTCTAAAAGGGTTGCCACATAATATAATATTTAAGAAAATATTGTTTAGCTTGATTAATCTATCAAGTTTCCAGCCAATAATTTTATCGCTATCTTTCTCATCTTTTTTATTGCTGTTGTTGTTAAAAAAACATTATTTTCACTCATAACACGCACTTGTTTGCGAAAACTTCTCAGCAAATACTTAAAAAGTTAAGCATCTCTGCATTAGCACTTGTCTGCGCTTCGTCGCTTGTTTTTTTTCGTCATTCATGGGTGGTTGTAGGACATTCGTAATAGGAAATTTACACTTGACATCTGCCGATTGCAAGCAATTGAAGTTTTGTGTTTTGCGGTTTGGCAATTGAATTGAGTCGCCACTGCCAATGAAGTTGTGGTCAATGCAAACATGTGTAGCTTGTAAATATTATACATTGAAGGCTATTATTATTTGTTGATCAAAAGTTTAATTGCTTTGAAAATTCCGGAAATTCTACAATATCAGCTTCTATTTTTTATTTATAGTTAAAAGATCACTGATGTTTTTTTTAAACTTAAGAAAAATATATATTTTTAGATAAACAAATATTTTAGGTAAATTTTGTTTTTGTTTTTACTTTTTAAATAAATAAAAAATAATTTTAGCTAAAAAAATTAAAACAATTTTTTTTGATAAGCATTTTCGGATAAGCAAAATATTTTTACATAAAAGAAAATTTGTATAAATAAAATATTTTTCACATAAAAGATATATCTAGATTAAAAGAAAATATTCTTAGATAAAAAATATTATATTTTTAGATAAAAGAAAACCTAGGAAGCAAAAAAATTATATTTTACGGTAAAAAATTTGATAAAAGTTATATATTTTTAGATAAAAAATAAATAAAAATATTTCGTAAAAAATTTTTTGCGATAAAAATATTTAGATTAAAAAATAATGTGTATTTTTAGGAAAAAAAAATTTAGATAATAAAAAAATATGTATTTTTAGATAAAAGAAAACTTTGGATAAAAATTTAAATTTTACGTTGAAAAGTATATATTTTTTAGATAAAACATAATATATTTTAAGATAAAAGAAAATATTCGAAAAAAAATATTTTTTGTTTAAATATTTTTGTTTTGTCAGAATTAATTCAGCTTTAGTTTCACTCAAATAGCATAACTAGCCATTCAGAATGTGCATTACCATAATTTTAATTAAATTCCGGCCAATTTTACTTGATTTCGCGCATATCGTGCACCCACTAGGAAATGGTAGTCAAAAGTTTCAATGTAGTCATAGCTAGCATAGAGTGGTGAATTGACGGCATCTAGTAGCTGCCAAAATTTTGCGCTGGCAACTCGTGTGCGCATCGTTTTCACGCAGCTACATATTTGTCATTTTTATAAAGCTAGAATTTGATGCTAACGCCTCGACGAAAGGCTGACAAATTAACCCACTCATAAGTGAGTGGAAAATTGCCGAGCACAGCCGCATCGCGTACACGCATATTTACAAACACATACATTGCGTTGATTGTATAATTCGTGACATAGACAAACGCAGCTGCCAAACAATTCACAATCTAATTGAATCAAAACAATTTAGAACGGAATTTAATCCAATCAAAATGAATGA